ACTTTCAGATGAAGTGAGGCAAGGGCTAAAATCTGAGATATACAGATTAATGATCCATCAGATGACTGTAACTAGAAGTGGTGGGTGATCATCTGGCATCCTGAGAGTCAGAGCTAAATATCAGAGACAAGGGACATAGAACAGTCTGTGAGCAGCAGAGACTAGAGAGAAAGCAGTCACCCATGGGAGACATTGTGCAGAGGAGACCCACAGCAGGAAGGTGGTGGGGTATTTTGAAGCCTGATTTAGAGTCAGCTCAGAGGTTTGAGTTTGAGAGGAGGGGAAGATGTGGTCAAAAAGTGCAATGAACTGAGTCATACACAGAATGAAACAGAAGGGGCCTGAGAGTCTTAGACATAAGACATGAAAAACAAACTAAAATCAGTCTTGACTCTTGTGTCATTTAAAGTTCTATGTGACAGATGGTGGTAGGGAGGCAGGAAATACTTCCAAGAAGCAGAAGTCCACATGTTGCTTTGACTCATGATATGGGGTGAAGCATAGGAGGTCCTTTTAGATTTTTTTTTATTTTTGGCAAGATGATGCATATGCTTGCCAGACACAGAGAGAGGAAGTACCCTGGCCTCCAATGGGGCATGGTCACACCAAAATTCCTTTCCTCCATTTCTCCATTCCATCAGAAATGTGGGCATATACACATGGCATATTTTTCAAACCAAATACATTACTGGGACTGGGATTCAAACTGGTTTGCCGTATGCGATTAAGCTCCTTACATACAGTTTAACTACTCTGCTATGGAGCAGGCCCTAGAACTATTATTATTATTTGCCATAGGGCATGTGTGCTTACCAGAGACAGACAGAAGCAAAGTGGCTATCCACTGAGGAGGGATGGCCACACCACAGTCCCTTCTCCATTATCCTCTCTGGATTTTGGGCATGCAAGCACATGTATGTGCCCCATGTGTTTTTTGAGCCACCAGGTCTGGGACTCAAACTGTAGAGTTGGCCATGTGAGATTCAGTGCCTTAACCACAATGACACCTGTTAGCCTTCCCACTGAGATTTTTTTTTTTTTTTTTTTTTTTTTTTTTTGCCATAGGGCACGTGCATGCATGGCCATGCTGCAATCCCTTTTCCTCTACTTTCTTCCTGGGATTCTGGTGATGCACGCACATGTGCCTGGAGTGACTTTTATTTTTTAATTTTTATTTTTTTAAAGGTTTTGCCATAGGGAATGTGTGCTTGCCAGAGACAGTGAGAGGGAGTGAGAAATCACCCCCTAGAGAGCGTTGACCATACTGCAATCTCCTTTCCTCCAGGATTTTTTGGCACACACACACAAACACACTCAGCATGATCTTCAAGCCGCCAGATCTGGGACTTGAACCAGTAAGCCATGTGGGAACCCAGTGCCTGCTGGCCCCTATAATACACACACACACACACACACACACACACACACGTGGGGTTTTAGTTTTGCTATTGGGTGCATGTGCTCATCAGAGAGAGGAGTGAGAAATCACCCCCCCCTCCAAGGGGATGGCCATGCCAGTCTCTTCTTGTCCATTCTCCTCTTGGGATTTTGGGCATACGTGCACATGCTCCTGGCGTGAATTTTAGTCTGCTGGGTCTTAGACTCAAACTACTGTCATCCATGTGGGAGTCCAGTACTTTAACCACTACGCCACCTGCTGGACCCAATATATATATTTAAAACATAAGTGCAAGGCGAGAGCAGCTGCAGAACTGATACTTGCAAACTAGTATTGGATTACAGAACTAATGAAATTTTGTATTTTTCTAGACTGCAATTTGTACTTCAGTCTTCCCTTTTTTTTCCCTGTATGGTGCATGCACTCAGAGAATCACCTCCTGGAGGGATGACCATGCCATAATTCCTTCTTCTCCACTGCACATACATGCCAAGCATGTTTTTCAAATCACCAGGTCCAAGACTTAAACTGTGAGGTCAGCCATATGAGATCCAGCTGCCTTAACCACCATGCTGCTGGTTGGCCCCACTGTATACTTTTATTATAAAATCTATGCTTTTTATTCAAGTTTTAACATTTATTATCATCCATTTTACTTACTTTCATTCTATTAATCTATAAAAATGATAATAAGCTTGGTAATAAGGTTATAGAATAAGTTCCAGGATGCTTATAGCATGCTATATATGACTTATGATGTCCATAAATAGAAGAATTTGGATTTGCTTTGAGAATTAAGTTGTCCACATCATACTGGCAGTATGATTCTGGATACATTATACTGTATTCTCTTACAGAGATAATATTGCTAACTATTCTCTCCAAGGGTCTTTGTACAAATTAGATGAGAAATCTACCCACATCTTTCACTTACTCTGTAATATTTATTGGCTGGGCATTAATGCATCAGGCCTGAAAAGACAGAAAAAGCAAATGTTAAGTATTTAAGTGAGCTCAAGCTATAGGAATCATGAAGTGAACTTCCTTACGGTACTAGTAGGCCATCATCTCTCAACCACTGGGAGTCATAGACCACTTAAGAATTAGATGAGGGACCAGCAGATGGTGTAATGGTTATGTTGCTGGGAGAGAGGGGGGGGGAGGGAGGGAGGGAGAGAGAGGGAGAGAAACGAGAACTATGAGAACTGGATGAACCTTATCAACTACAGATTTCTATCCAATACCCTTGAAGTCAAACCAAGAACATATGGCCCCTAGTTAAAACCTTAATTTAGGGAAATACAGGACATGATTATGAACTGGTGAGAAGCCACTCAAGTCCTCTGTACCATCTAGCACTTTATCCCTTGAAAACTCAAACTCCTTTACTGCAGGTAATGGACTGGTGATGGGTTAACTCTATCAAACAATCGTTTCACTTGGAGATGATAAAAGAAAAAAATAAACACTGCATTCAAAGATTTTTTTTGGAGAGGTTTTTTTTCGCTATAGGGCACGTGCGCTCGCCAGACAGACAGAGACATAGAGACAGAAAGTGAGAAATCTCCCCCAAGGGGGGATGGCCATGCCGCAATCCCTTCTCCTCCATTCTCCTCTCGGGATTTTGGGCACGCATGCACACGCGCCCAGCATGAGTTTTAAGCCACAGGGTCCGGGACACGAACTGCGGTCAACTATGTGGGAGTCCAGCGACATAGCCGTTACACTAACTGCTGGTCCCTGCATTCAAAAATCTTGAGACATGGTGCTCCAATGTGCAGTGGTATCTGATTAATTGAAAGAACAAACACTTTTGCCCTCTTCTTCATGAAGGGAATTCTAACCAGTCATAGGACATTCTTTGGTCTTATCCAAACTTTCAATGCATCTTCTAGACCAGAGGTCCCCAATTTTCTCAGCACCAGGTACCAGCCTTGTGGAAGACAATTCCTCCAGAGAAGGGGGAGAGGATTGGTGCTAGGACGACGACCCAAGTGCACCACATCCACTGTGCACATCATTTCAACCATTGCAATATATTAAAAAACCACCACACACTAGGGTTTGCACTCCCATGAGAATCCAATACCATCGCTGATCCAAGAAGAGGCGGAGCCCAGGCAGCAAAGTGAGGACAATGGGGAGTGGTTGCAAACACAGATGAAGCTTTGCTCATTTCCTGACAGCCCTGCTTCTCCCACTGTGTGGTCCTGCTGACGAGTACCAGTTCCTGGCCCAGGGGTAGGAGACTCCTGTTCTAGGCTCTGCTTCTCTGTAAATCCCCAGGGTGTGGGTGATAAAATCCCAGGGAATCCACATCCCACATCCCAGAAAATGCAGTAACTCCAAATGCCAATTCCACACTTCATATTTCAAAGAGATCCTAGCTCTTGTGTTCCATAAATCCTTCAGGACAGAGGAACCAGATAATTTTATTTTTCATTGCTTGAGATTTTCTTGATTTTTATTATAAAATCTCTACTATACAACTGAACAAAAGAAAAAGGTAAGAAAAAATATCATTGAAGAGACAGCATAACAGTGGTTAAAAACAAACTCTGGAGCCAAACAGTCTCAGCTCCACTCCTTACTAGCTGTAGTCGTTGGTTAAGTTCCTCAACATCTTTGCTTTCATTCCCCTATTTGTAAAACTTTGATAATAACAGTACCTATCTCAGAGAGTTATTGGGATTAAACAAGTTAATATTCAGAAAGCACTTAAAGTCTAGCATGTGGTAAATGATATGTGTATTTGCAAAACTAATTTTTACAAAATCTTAAATTAACTGAGTTAAGGATCTTTTTGGTCCTTAACACACACATTTTTAGATCTGTAATAGCAGACATGTATACACAATTCTGTGTCCTTATTCCTTCATGTTACATGTATATTAATGTGGTGTCTATAATTTATTGTGATTGCCTAAAACTAATTACCCAGCAATGAAGTAGGGAGTAAACAATGGATACTGACACACTGGGTTATTAATTATCACCCTTTGTTCCAACATCAGTCTCATAATTCTAGGCAATAAACTTCCCACCATTAGTAATTTAATTTACTATTTTTTCCTAAGGAAGTTAATCTTAACAGTAAATATGCCATTCAATTCTATATTTTTCTTAAGTTCAGATTTAGTATCCCATACTCTATTCTGTAAGACTCTCCCCTTATAAAACCGAAATTTGCCTATCACTATGATTATACACAAAATGTTAAGTTTTCCATAAAACATTCCAGCTTGATGCAAAATAGTGTGTTTCCAGTCAAATACTTTTCTTAGTATACGGGTTTTCCCTTAAGAATGCACACTAATCTATAGGAGGTGAACTCTTACTAAAGGATGCCTCATCCCTGGTCATGTATATTCTGCAAATATAGATTCCTAGTGGACTACAAGTAGTTTTCTTCACTGTAATGATCTGATGTTGTGAAAAGGTTACGTAACTTCTGAAAGTTTTCCCCTATTCTTTTCATTTATAAGGTTTCTATTGAATAGTAAGGGGAGAAGTACTATAGAATTTAATGAAAAGTTTCCCCTCTTGACTACAGGTTTTTTCAATGTGCTATCAAATGTGCAAGAAAAGAAAAATCTCTCAGTTCAATTCAGTTTCTCTTTACTGTGATTTCTCTGGTGCTGAAGTAGGGCTGAGTGACCACTAAAGGCTTTTCCGCATTCATTGCATATAAAGCGTTTCTCTCCACTATGCATTCTCTGATGAATAATAAGAGAAGAATTCTTACAAAAAGCTTTCTCACAATGATTACATTTGTAGGGTTTTTCTCCAGTATGGTTTCTCAGGTGTACTATAAGAGAAGAACTCTCATTAAATGCTTTCCCACATTCATTACACCTGTATGGTTTCTCTCCAGTATGAGTTCTCCGATGTGCAATAAGGTGGGAGCTACAGTTAAAGGATCTTTCACACTGGTTACATTTATATGGCTTCTCACCAGTGTGAATTCTACGATGAGCAACAAGGTGACAGCTCTGACTGAAGGACTTTCCACATTTATTGCATTCATAGGGTTTTTCTCCAGTATGAGTTCTTTGATGCCTAACAAGGTGAGCCATCTGGCTGCAGGATTTTCCACACTTATTACATTCATAGGGTTTAATTCCAGAATGGATTATTTCATGTTTTGTGAGGGCTGAACGTTCTCTGAATGCTTTGCCACATTCCTGACAGTTATAGGGTTTCTCTCCTGTGTGAGTTCTCTGATGGGCAATAAGATGGGAGCTCCAGCTAAAGGATTTTCCACATTCAGTACATTTATACGGTTTTGCACCAGAGTGAGTTCGTTCATGTTTACTAAGAGCTGAATAATCCCTAAAAGCTTTTTCGCATTCATCACATTTAAAGGGCTTCTCTCCAGTGTGCATTCGCATATGAGCAATAAGATGGGAGCTCCAACTGAAAGACTTCCCACATTCAGTACATTCAAAAGGTTTCTCCCCAGTATGAGTTCTCTGGTGTCCAATAAGATGGGAGTTCCAGTTGAAAGATTTCCCACATTCATTACATACATAAGGTTTTTCTCCTGTATGGATTCTCTTATGTACTATAAGATGAGAATTCCAGCTGAAGGCTTTCCCGCATTTATTACACTCATAGGGCTTTATTCCAGTGTGAGTTCGTTCATGTTTAGTAAGGGCTGAACGATTTCTGAACACTTTCCCACATTTATCACATTCATAGGGTTTTTCTCCAGTGTGAGTTTTCTTATGCTGAATAAGGTAAGAGCTCCAGATGAAAGATGTCTCACATTCATTATATTCATATGGTTTTTCTGTAGTGTAAGTGCTTGTATGCTGAGTTAGAAATGAGTCATACCCAAAGACTTTCTCCCATTCATTGTATTTGCATGCTTTCTCTATAGTACCAAGTTTTTGGTGTTCCATAAAGGATGAGAAGTAAAAAATATTCTCATATTCTTTGTAATTATATTGGTTTTCTCCAGTATGAAGTCTTGCATGCTCATTAAATGGTGGGTTCTGGTTGAAGATTTGATGACATTTCTTATATTCATAGATTTTTTCTCTTCCATGCATTCCTTTATGATCACCAAAATGTATTATATGATTGAAAGATTTAACAGCATCAGTACATTTAAAAAGATTATCTCCACTTTGCATTCTTGCAGGGTAAATGGGTTGAATGGACTGGTAGAAGGCTTTATCATAGTCAGTATTTTCACAGGTAATCTTATCTGCATACATTATGGCTGAGTTGTATCTCCAACTTTCGCCACACGTATCAGGCTTATAGTAATGTTCTATTTGAGAAACTCTCTGAGATGGAGTGAAGTTTAAGCTCTGGCTACACTCTGGCCCAAGTTCACAGAATTCAGAGCCTCTCTGAGATAGTACTTGCTTTTGCATAAAGACCATTTGTCTCAAAGCTGTACTCTGGTTCATGTGATACATTTCTAACTTGGAGAACCAAGGATCATCCCATATGTATCTTTCTAACTTCATGCCATGGGACTGTTCTTCCTCAAAAATACTCCGTGTTGGGATCAATGCTTTGCTTTCAAGATTTCTAATCCATTCTGAAATAGATAGAAAAAAAACTGTGAGAAAAGAGACCTTAGAATAGAACAGGAATGCTGCAATTTATTACGTATAGTATGGAAAGGACAAATGTGAATTTCTTTCTTTTTTTTTTTTTTGGAGAGGTTTTTGCTATAGGGTGTGTGCTTGCCAGAGGGAGAGAGAGGGATCTTGGGTATGCACGCACATGTGCCTGACCTGAGTATAAGCCACCAGGTTGGGACTCAAACCGCAGTCAACTATATGGGAGTTCAGTGACATAGCCATTACTGCTGGTCCCAATGTGGATTTCTTTTAAAGTACAGATTTGGGGGTCAGTGAACAGCATGGTGATTAAGGTGGATGAACCCCACACAGTCACATGGCCAACTGTGTGGTTTGAGTCCCAGACACAGAAGCATGAAAAACATGTTTGGTGGGCAGTACATTGAGCTCCATAGAGACACCGCCGGGGTAAGTAAGAGCCGGATGGGCACTGGGTGACTCTGTGCCTCGCAGAGAAAAGACAACTAAACATGGGCAAAGGAGATCCTAAGAAGCTGAGAGGCAAAATGTCATCATATGCATTCTTTGTGCAAACTTGCCAGGAGGAACACAAGAAGAAGCACCCAGATGCTTCAGTCAACTTCTCAGAGTTTTCGAAGTGCTCAGAGAGGTGAAAGACCATGTCTGCTAAAGAGAAAAGAAAGTTTGAAGATAGGGCAAAGGTGGATGAGGCTTGTTATGAAAGAGAAATTAAAACCTATAGCCCTCTTAAAGGGGAACAAAAATGTTCAAGGATCCCAATGTACACAAGAGGCTTCCTTCGGCCTTTTTCTTGCTCTGTTCTGAATACTGCCCAAAAATCAAAGGAGAACATTCTGGCCTATCCATTGATGATGTTGCAAAGAAACTGGGAGAGATGTGGAATAACACTGCTGCAGATGATAAACAGTCTGATGAAAAGAAGGCTGCTAAGCTGCAGGAAAAATACGAAAAGGATATTGCTGCATACAGAGCTAAAGGAAAGCCTGATGCAGTAAAAAAGGGAGTTGTCAAGGCTGAAAAGAGCAAGAAAAAGGAGGAGGAGGAGGAAGATGAAGATGAAGAACATGAGAAAGAAGAGGAAGATGAAGATGAAGAAGAAGATGATGATGAATAAGTTGGTTCTAGCATTTTTTTTCCCCTTGTCTATAAAGCATTCAACCCCCCTGTACACAACTCACTCCCTTTAAAGAAAAAAAAAATGTAAGACTGTATAAGATTTTTTTTTTAAAAAACTGTACAATGTCTTTTTTTTGTATAGTTAACTCACTACCAAATGTGTCTTTAGATAGCCCTGTCCTGGTGATATTTTCAATAGCCACTAACCTTGCCTGGTACAGTATGGGGGTTGTAAATTGGCATGGAAATTTAAAGCAGGTTCTTGTTGGTGTACAGCACAAATTAGTTATATATAGGGATGGTAGTTTTTTCATCTTCAATCGTCTCTGATGCAGCTTATACGAAATAATTGTTCTGTTAACTGAATACCACTCTGTAATTGCAAAAAAAAACCCAAAAAGTTGCAGCTGTTTTGTTGACATTCTGAATGCTTCTAAGTAAATATAATTTTAAAAATTAAAAACAAAAACAAAAACAAGAAACATGTTGGGTGCATGTGTGTAGTGTCCAAAATCTTGACAAGAGAAATGGAAGAGAGGGATTGTGGTTTGGCCATATTCCATGGGGAGCGGGGGAGGGGGCTGCTTTCTTTCCATCTTTATCTGTTTCTCTCCAGCAAGCTTATGTACCCTCTGGCAAAATATTTAAAAATTAAAAAAAAAATTTTTCTTAGATTTTTGCCATAGGGTATGTGCACTCATCAGGAGACAGAGAGAGGGAAAGTAAGGGAGTAGAGGAGGGTGTCCTAGCCACAATTCCTTCTCCTTCATTGTCTTCTTGGGATTTTGAGCACGCATGCACACACACTGGCTTGTTTATCAAGCCACTGTGTTCGGGACTCAAACTGGAGTTAGCCGTGTGGGATCCAGTACCTTAATCATTATACCACCTGCTGGCCCAAAAGTTAAAAACAATTTTTTAAAAAAATTTTTATTTACATTTTTAAAATACATTCAATTACATTATTTAGCTTACAAGGTAATCATTTCAATATATGAACATTTCTCCCCGGTCTAGTTGATCAAAATATAACAACACTACCTCCCTGTCGAAAGTACAGAAGTGAACTAGCAGGTGGCATGGTGGTTAAGGCACTGGATCCCACATGGCCAAGTTCATGATAGGAGTTTTAGTCTCAAGGGTTTGAAATTCATGTGAAGTGCATGTGCGTATGTGCATGCCCAAAATACTGAGGAAAATGGAGAAGGGATTACAGTGTGACCCACCCCTCCGGGGTTGATTTCTTTCTTTTCCTGTTTCTGCCTCTCTCGCAGGCAAGCACATGCACTCTATGGCAAAGATCTAAAATAAAAAGAACAGATGTGCAACTCAGAGAAAGATATAACACAGAAGAATAGTAAAAAGTGAACAATAGTTCATCTGAATACAAAGTACAAAGTATATATGGAAAACCAGAACCATTTAGAGTACTTTTGCATGAAAATGAAGACCCTAAATAAGGGTGTACAGGAAAGTTAACTTAACAGGCCTAAATTGCTCAAACTATGCTCAAAACTGTAATCTGTTTCATGACTCTCCCTTGGCCAACTCCTAGAAATCAAGATCTTGGAATGTTCTAACTGATAACTGTTTTGCATGCTCGTGGTCTTGAAGCATACTGTACCAATTTCTCAAGAAATTTTGTGCAAATGTCATTTAAAGTGAACACCTTCTTTCCTTCTGGTGGGTATGGGTACTGGATTTTCAGTGATTGCAGCTGGGCATATAGGCAGTATTGTGCATACATGACTAATCCCCAATAAAGGCTCTGGACTCATAGGCTCACACAAATTCCTAGGAGACAACATTTTACATGTTCTCTTGTCCTTGCTAGAGGTATTATGTGTGTCCCGTGTAACTCTACCGGGAAAGGACTACTAGAAGTTTGTACTTGGTTTCTTCGGGACTTCACCCCATGTAACTGTTCCTTT